AAAGAAACGAAAAAAGAAATAAAAGAAAAGAATCTCAACCAATCACTACTTCATTTCAATTTTATTTTCTTTTTCTGTGTAGTTAGAAAGACAAGGCGTCCTTGGGTCACCTACGGAATTTCCCGCACCTGCGAAACCTGATATAGCATTGGCAGAAAGAACGGAGGTAATAATCTTTGGCTCTGATAATTTACTCTCAACTGTTTATTTGCAGGACATGAGATTTACATTTTTTTGGATTTAATGCAGAACTTGCAGCTACTTGACACTGACATTTTACCTGTAAAATCTTCTGCACTAAGAGATGATCTGAGTGAATGTTTAAGATCTCTTAAACGTCGAAACAAGGTAGCTTTGGCGTTGATCGTCCATTTAGAGTTATAAATTGTTTGGATATAACGGTTCAATGGTGTTGACTACCGAAAAAACATTATTGTGGTCTGTTAGTAAAAAGCATGTCTTTCAAAATCTCATACAACCCAAACTAGCATTATTATTCTACAAACTGCAGCTTCAAGAGGGCTTATTTCTGAAGTATGAACGCCAAGAGAGCCTTTGCTGTACTTATGAGCGTTTGCCCCGCAAATGCAAAACCTCAATAAATGTTTATTTATACCTTAAGTAGTGTTTATCCATCTGAGAGATACTTTGACCTATCGTAATTAGACCAAACTTCATGATTAATTACCGCAATTTACTTTCCAAAAAACTCCATAGGGGTACAAGGTATTTCAACTTCACTGTTCCTGATCATGGCATGTGATGATGTACTAGGAGGAGAGTTCAGGGGCAAGTAGGGCATTCCAAACTCTCTTGATTTATGTGAGAAATGTTATTAACAATCCCAATGAGGAGAAGTTTCGGAAAATCCGGATCAACAATCCAATTTTCCAGGTTAGGTATTTTCTGAACGCACGACATGAAACATGTTGAGTTTTTTATTCAGTTAATCATACGTCTCATTGAAATATCAACATGAACTGCTTGGTGATTTTATTTTTTATTTTATTTCTTATGACTTTGTTTAAATAGATTTTTCTAGTGTACCTGGCTCAGATGAATTGATGTTTCCATTCGTCAAACAGGAAACATGTGCTAATACGCATCTATTATGGGACATGTCAAAAATCACAGTTTCTGAAGTTTATCTCAATTACCAACAGAGTGATTTTGTTTGTTTAACAAATTGTGCACGTCACGAACTCATATGTTGGATCTGTATACAAACCCAAGCTGTGTTTACTTCCAACTTTAAGGGGTCATTTCTGTTGCGCCTTTCCAATCCTTAAGTTTTTTCATTCGCTTACTTTCTGTGGTTTCGAACAGGATAGAATCGGCAAATTTGGGGAAGGTATCAAGTTTCTTGAGTTATGTGGGTTTGAGGAAGTCGAGGGAGATAACTTCTTGTTTCTTCCTCGACAAAAGGTCAATATGGGAACATTAAAGTCGGCTGCCTTAGAGCTAAACAATGCTTTGAAGAATCCTTTTTTTGGACTCTTTTCAGTATATAAATAATACTCAGTATGTGAATTCTATGTATGAAGGATTTTCGATCAGGTTCTGTAGATGCATAGAACAGCTTGAAGCATCTGTGGGCGTGGATATTGATGTTGCTGTTTTTCCTGGCTTTCACCATGTTGATTACAATTTTTTTTATTTATTCGTGTGTCAAGATAGTTGGGATGAGTTTGACTGGAGTCTGTATTTGGGAAAGTTTGGGTTGAATATATGTGTATTCTCCCAAAAAACTGATGGGCCAATTGACCATGACGAATTACGAAAAATTTTAAAATCAACTATCTTGAAATCAATGAACTCAGACAAAGAGGCACGTGATACACGTAAAATTCAATTGCTATCGATTAATGCAAATATTTTTTTTATTAACGCCTTCGACATAAAACAAATTTTTATTTTCATATAGTGTCATTCCAAATATAAACACGAAATGTTTTGTTTAAGTTTTGGAGTTAGACATGGCCATCGGGTCAACCGGCCCGGTCACGGCACGGTCAAACCCGTTGACCGTGGGTCTAGGCCCGGCTCGGATTGCTAACGGACCGGTCCAGGGCTTTCATTTTGTCGACACCGACCCGCCGGGCCGGGTCCGGTCCGGCAAGGAAAAACATGTTATTTTTGAATTTTTCTATTTTTTTCTTCTTTTTTTTTTTTAATTTGGCGGGCCAGACCCGGGTCGGGTCCGGCCCGGCCCGCCGGGCCATGGACCCGGCACGGATTTAGGGCGTGCCGGTTCAGGGTCGACTTAACTCAACCCTTCGGCCCGCCATTTGGCCATGTCTATTTGGAGTCATTGGAAGGTGTAATGGGGGAAGACTTTGGAACTAAAGTAATTTGTTTTGTTTTTTTCTTGTTATACAAACTTTGGACCAAATGGTTTTTATGTATACTTCAGGTTCATGAGATGATTTTAAATAAGGTTATGTTGGTTAATTAAGGATGCTATCATGTATAAACAAATAATTAAAAGTCTTGAATTGTAAGGCCCCTCTATTGTTTGTAATTGATTTAAAGACACCCTGTGACCTTTTCAAAACTTGTTTACATTTTGACAATCCCATTTCATTGTTTTCTTATAGGGCATATTTGTTTCCTACTTATACGTTCCTAATTACAGTAATATGCCCTTTTTTGTTGCAGTTATTTTTAATTTTTTTCTCTCTCTTCTTTCTTTTTATTTTACACATTACTTTTTTCTCTCTGCAATAACCAGTTTCCTCCTTTCTTCAATTACTTTCTCCATTTTTTTTCTTTCTTTTTTTCTTCTTCTTTTAAATTCACACAAATATACTCATAAAAAAACCAGAATTGTTTTATTGTTCTTCCAATTTAATTGGCGATTGAAATATTGTGTGCGTGGTTCAGCCCAGGCAAGTAATTGACTTGAAAGCTCCAAACATTGACAAATCGAAATAAACGGTTTGTTTAGGTCCCTAAATAGACGAACAAAATCCAAATAAGGCCATGCACACCACCCGGCGGCCACCGTAGCGCTCAAGCTGTAACTCAAAACTTGAAGCTCACGTCCACCGCCACCATGATCTGGTAATAAAAAATAGATTTCAATCGTGTTGTGTGTGTTTGTCATGTAAATTGATTTAGTTTAATGAACAATTGACTTTCTGTTATATCCTTGGTGTCAAAATTACACGGGAATCCTAAGAACTGATATGTATTTTTTAGTTCTTACAAATAATCTAAAATGGAAAATTATAATTGAACTGAAAAATAAATTCAAACTTAAAAACAAAACGGAAAGATTAAAGCCGAGGCTAGTAAAACTCTTTCCGCAAGAAGAATACGCCCCGTGTGGCAGTTAACGGATCAGGCGTAACTTCCACAAAGATACAACAGCAAACGTCTCTAAATCTGTAGCACACCAGATTTACGAGCTCCGGCGAACTGGAACGGAGTCGAGAATTGAACACTTAAAAATAGGAATAAAATTATCTCTCTGGTAATTTTCTCTATTTTTATCACTAATATTTTTATCCCTCAAATATTCTTTTGGATTGAATATTTTTCTATCTCTCTTCTTTTCTTTCTCCCTTTCTTCCTCTCTATTATTTTTCTTCCGTCTGGTGTATTTTCCATCAGCAGAAGACCCTCATATTTATAGATGAAAGTGAGGGAGCATAACATGGCTTGCCAATACAATACAATTATTGTTATAAAAGCAAAGATTAATTATGGGCACATGCATGGGCAACATATTGATCAAGTGGAAGAGGAAAAATCTAATTTTCCTCATGCATTTCAATTTGGCAAATGGGGGACAAAGTCAAGTGGATGGGTCCCACTCAATTCTTACAATCCCCCTATGAGTGGAAATTTAGTGTATATAGGCTATTGTGCTCAATCCTCATAAAACATTACTGCATCAGAAAAGGTAGCTTTTGGCTTTGAACCTATCTTTGTAAACATCATCGGATGCATTGGCGGACTAGTGGACATAATGCTTTGAACTATTCCTCCATAGTGTACACCTAGACAATGACATTCACACAATAGAGTCGTAACTCCATTCCATTCTATCGTTGTGTCCGTTTTGGCCATGGACAACACTTTGGATTCATAGGTGTTTACATTTGAAGCGGCGCACACTTCACACTTATATATGTGACCTCCCTATCAAGAGTATCCTGTATTACTCCACTTTTACAAGGTTAGAGATTCATTAAAAGTCCACATGACTTACCCTCACCACAATCAACAGGTCATCTTACACTTGGAGTGCTCTTAGGGAATAGCTTTGGACATTCATATGTTCCAAGTGCTCAACAGAATTTGCATACCCTAGTTTTACCTTTGAACCAAGTTCATGGGATCTCCATTCAGCATGGTAGGGTTACCACTATGATCATTCTTCACATTGTGGTTTTTAAGCCCATTCCCTCTAGCAAACTTCCCAATTGATCTCTATTCAATCCTTTTGTCAAAGGATCAGCCAAATTTTCCTTAGACTTCACATAGTCAATGAAATAATACCATTTGTAATCAATTAGTGAACGGTATTGTGTCTACGACGAATATGTCTAGACTTACCGTTATATAAGTTGCTTTGCGCCCTACCTATTGCAGCTTGGCTATCACAGTGAATCATCATAGGCGGCAAAGTCTTATCCCAACATGGAATATCGAATAAAAATTTCTAAGCCACTCAGCTTCTTCACTAGCTTTATCTAAAGCGATGAACTCCGATTCCATCGTTGACCGAGCTATACACGTTTGTTTTGTGGATTTCAACTAAACTACACCTCCTTCAATACAGAAAACATATCCGCTAGTGGAGCGAGAATCTCTCGAATCTGATATCCAGCTTGCATCACAGTACCCTTCAAGTACGACTGGGTATCTCGAGTATTTTGGCCCGTATTCAAGGGTGTACCTCAAGTACTTAAGTACCCTTTTCAAAGCATTCCAGTGCTCATGACTGGGATTGCTCGTAAATCTGCTCAACTTATTCACCGGATAAGCCTAGTCTGGTCGTGTACAATTTGTTAGGTACATCAGACTCCCTACTATCCGTGAATATTCCAACTGAGCCACTGGTTGACCTTTATTGGCTACCAGATTTATACTGAGATTAAGGGGAGTCTTACACCTAGACTGTGCACAGTCATAGGTATCAAATTTCTTGAGCACTTTATCTACATAATGAGATTGTGACAAGACAATTCCATCTTGGGTTCTGATAATCCTTATTTCAAGAAAAACATCAGCCAAACCCATATCTTTCATGTCGAAATTTCTCTTCAACATTCTTTTCGTATCCATGATCACTTCATGGCTACTCCTCATGATCAACATATCGTCTACATATAGACATACAATCACAAATGTATTTGATGTACTCTTGACATAAACACATTTGTCACATTCGTTGATTTTGAAATCATTTGACAACATCATGTCATCAAATTCAAATGGCATTGTTTCAGAGCTTGTTTCAGTCCGTACAATGATTTAATCAATCTACACACCTTTCTCTCTTGTCCAGGTGCAACAAACCATTCAGGTTGTTCCATGTATATTTCTTCTTCCAATTCACCATTCAAAAATGCCGTCTTGACATCCATTTGGTGAATCTCAAGATTGTGCAAAGCAGCAATCGAGAGAAGCACTCTTATCGACGCTAAACACGTAACTGGTGAATAGGTATCAAAAAAATCATACCCTTCCTTCTGTTTAAAGCCTTTGACCATCAATCGTGCTTTAAATTTATCAATCGATCCATCAGCTTTATATTTCCTCCTTAGGATCCACTTGCATCCTAAAGGTTTACATCCCAAGTATGATTTTGCATAATGGACTCGATTTCGCTATTTACAGCTTCTTCACAGAGTGGTTCATCTGGGTTGGACAGAGCTTCCTTAAGGGAACTTGGTTCATCGTCCAACATATACGTAATAAAATCAAGTCCAAACGTTTTCGCCATTTTTACCCTTTTACTACGTCTTGGTTCTACATCAGTATCATCTGGTACAGAACCACTATTAGTTTCATACGTTCGTTTATTATAACTAGATTCTACCCTTTCCTTCAAAGGAAATATATTCTCAAAATATAGCATTCCTCGACTCAATCGTGGTACCAATAGATACCTCTGGATTTTCTGATTTATGAACAAGAAATCTATATGTTGTACTATTGTACGCATATCCAATAAATACACAATAGACCGTCTTTGGCCCGATTCTCATTTGTTTGGGTTCAGGAACTGAATCTTAGCTAAACACCCCCACACTTTCAGGTACTTATAAGACGGCTTACGATTTTTCCACATTTCGTAAGGAGTCTCATCTTTCCCTCTAGATGGTAATTTATTCAGGATATGATTTGCTGTTAAAACAACTTCCCCCCACATGTTTTGGGGTAATCCTGAATTTATCAACATGGCATTCATCATTTCTTTTAACGTACGGTTCTTGCGTTCAGCAACACCGTTCGACTGTGGAGAATAAGGGGTCGTCGTTTGATGAATTATGCCATATTCAGAACATATTTTTTCAAAAGGAGCTACATACTCCCCACCCTTATCACTTCGAATTATTTAAATCCTTTTGCCGAGTTGATTTTCAACTTCGGGCTTATAGATCTTAAATGCTTCCACAGCCTCTTCTTTTCTTCTTAATAAATATAAGTAGCAAAACCTTATGCAATCATCGATAAAAGTAATAAAATACTTTTTATCCGTTCTTGTTTG